CGCCTGTGTCCTTGCGGCCGGCAGCCCCTTCTTTCAGGATAAGCTGCTGCTGGGTCACTCTGAAATCTCTGTGCCGCCGCTAGTGCCCGCGGAGACCGTGAAGCAGCAGAGACCGTGCATTACATTCACCTGCATAACTCCAGTCAGTCTGTCCTGGAGGCGCTGCGCACGCAGCGCCGCGCGTTGGTGGTGCTGCAGTCTCAGGCCCTTTGCATCCTCACTGCTGCCAGTATTCTGCAAATCAAGACGGTCATCGATGAGTGCACGCAGATCATCTCTCAGAGGCCTGCGCGGTGCGGTCGTCCCCCCCCGGACCGCCAGCCGCCGCCGCAGCTGCTGCGGCAGCAGCGGGAGGAGCCATGCTGGGAGGCGTTTTGCCCAAACAGGAGGAGCGTGGCGGGGGCAAAGGTCGGGAGAGTGGCGGCGGAAGCTGCTCTGTCGGCGGAGGAAGTGGAGGTTACGCAAACTTCCCTAACTTTATGGCTGAGTGTGGAACGAGCAACATGGGTGCGGGAATGGGCGGTGCCAGCGTTAGCGTCAGCGAGAGCGGGCAAGGACAGATGGAGCAAGGAAACGCCGTCAGTCTGATGACGTTGAGTGACATAGGTGCCGGTGCCATGTGCGGCGACGGGATGGGCTCCGGGGCGGGTGGCATCCTCATGAAACAGAGTCCGAGCTGCACTCAGGATGTCAGGTGAGCCCTCACGACCGGGCTAAAATCGGAAATTGTTTTTTTAAGAACAAATCTATCGCACCTGGCCTGTGTGTTTATTTACGAGTTTGATTTAGATTTAATTGTTTGCTCAGGTACAAGCTCCGGGACCTGTTGGTACAGACGGCCAATGGCGCCAACACCAGCAGCACAGGGAACCTGTCAGCCAGCTGCAGCTCCGGCGTGGCTAGCGTGGACAGCATTGGCAGGGGCAACACCACTGACCTCTCGGACGACCTGGTGGGCATGGAGCGGTACAGCGAGGAGGAGGAGCTGGACGGTAGAGAGCGGGGGAGAGATGGAGACAGAGACAGGGGGGCGAGCCACAGCCGCAAGCAGAGGCAGCCGCTAAGACTCCAGGTAGGGGGATAAGGGGAAGGGTTGCCATGGTTACAGCTTTCAGGCATGCAGAGCTGCAACGCTTTGCTGTTTCTTTCTTTTTCTGCTTTTCCCTCTTCTCCTCACACTGCATTGGCGTATATCGCTGAGATGTTTCTGCACTTTGCACAACCGAAGAGAAGCTCTCGTCTCAATTTTGATTGTTGATATTCTATGGACTTCTGCATATTCACTGTACGTGGTATAAAAAAAAAAACTTATTAGTGCGTGTTTGAAGGAGCTGCAGCCGAAAGTCGAAATCCATCTGCCGTTGCAAACCTGCGCCTATTTTAGTCGCTAATTTTTTTTTTTTCTTTTTTTACATTCCCTGCTTTAGGTGCTGGGAGGAGACGGCGTGGTGGTGAAAGATGAAGGTGTTCAGGACACAGACGGGACCGTCTATGCCTTGGAGGAAGGGAGACGAGAAGGCGAGCAGGAAGCCTCCCAGGAAACCATGGCGGGCTTTGGCCAGGTGGGTTTGACTCTGAGGAGAGCTGCAGCTCTGAGAGCCAATGAGATTGTAAATGTGAAGCGACATCAGAGAGCAGCAAGGGGTTGATTTCTTTTTTTCTTTTTCTTTTTTTTCTTCTTCGTCCTCTTTTAAATGTCATGCAGTGTTAATGAGGAGTCGATCTTAGATGATCTCAGAGATGAGCCTGGCTTTATTTGTTAAACAGAACTTGACGATTCTCATTTATTGGGCTAAATTAGTGCAGAGCGTTTTTTTTTTTTTTTTTTTTTTTAGTGCAAGTCTTGAAGTAAGTGCAAAGGAGAGGGTGGTGAAGCAGATTTATGCGGCAGCCTGCACAACCCTGCAGACTACATGGGGAACATCTGCCACACACTCAGGAGCATTCAGCTTTTTTTCACCTCCTTTTTAGAAAAAGAAAAATCCAAACTCGCCGCACGCTCGTTTACAATTTAGTAGCAAACACTCACGTTGGGATGTTGTGTCCTTCATGCAGTGTGAACATGTGGTGGTCATGTCCAACAGGACTGTAGTTGCACCGTGACATGATAGTTGAAGTGTTTGTTGATTCAGGGAAAACAATTAGACAAGAGGGAAAAAAAAAAAATCAGTTAAATTGTTATTTAATCCCACAGCAGCAGGAGATTAAAACCATCCTTTTTCTTTTTTCTTTATGATTTTATCGTCTTCAGTTCCGAGGATGAACGGCGGAGAATATGAGTGCGAAATGTAGTGAGATGTATACTTTATGAATTTATTCATGAATTCCTGTCAGTCTCACTACTTTTATACTATAGAAACCGCTGGATACCGCATATGTGTGTTTCTGCGCGCTGTGTGTGTGTGTGTGTGTGTGTTATTTTAGTGTCTGTGCCGCTGTGTGGATCTGCACCTTTTTTTTGTAATTAAGAGAAATATAATATTGTTTTCAACGTCTTTTTATGTCTCTGCACTGTTCAAATATTTAACCAAGAAATAGAAGAAATAACTAACTTATATTTTGTACTGTTTTATTATTTTTCTATGCGTGCATTAATGAAACAATAACCCTGTGTTCCAAACCTTATAAAATAATCAATTATTTTTTTAACCTGTCTGGCCTTTTCTTATATAAATGGACAGGAAAGTAGAGGCTCATCTCTCTGAGGTTCTGTGCTGCGACCAGACATGTTTATATTTCTAAAGTAACTGTCTGTAAAAACTCTGGTCCATAATTAATAATGACCTTCAAGCATTTTTCTAACAACAACAACAACAGAACAAAAGTAAGTGTTTGATCGGCAGCTTCTGTCCAGAGCGTCTCTCATTTAACTCTGTGACATCACATGAGGTCATACAGAACCCCTGGGGTCCCGGAAAAAAAGAATTGTAGTGGGGTGCATGGTATCATGTACCGTATAAAGTGAATCTGTCTGTCAAGTTCGAGACAAAGGATGAAACCTTAAGTGTTTAAGATCAAAATATTTTTAACGACTCCTGAATTTATTTCTAATCTACTTCATTCAGTTATTTCTTTAAAAAAAAAAGAAGAAAAAAAAAGAAGTCATTTTCTTCTTTAGTCGCGTTCATGTTTTGCTAATTACTTTGACCTTACTCTGCGATACAGACGTAAGTCGTTTCTACTTCATTCATTCTTTGACCGTGTGGCAGACGCGTCGTTCTGACATCACCAGACTGTTAGTGCTGCAGTGAGAGTCAGTCAGGGATGAAGGAGAATCTGACACACACACGCACACACACACATACGCACATACGCTTGATTGAAAACGTAAACTGTCCTGATTTGTGTTTTAGTTGTCGTGTTTTCCTGTCGTCGCGACTCACGATCTGCTCAGATACCGCAACGTTTTTATTAAAACACACCAGTGTTTACTCACGTCGGCGCTGCGCAGCCTCAGCAGCTGCTCTCAGGACTAACTCTTTGTCCATATGTTATATATATATGTGTATATATATATATGTATTTATGTGTATATGTATATATGTGTATATATTTATATGTATATATATATATATATGTATTTATGTGTATATGTATATATGTGTATATATATATATGTGTATATATTTATATGTATATATATGTGTGTATATATATATATGTGTAAATATATATGTGTATATATTTATATGTATATATATGTGTGTAAATATATATGTGTATATATATATATGTGTGTATATATATATATATATGCATATATATATATATATGTATTTATGTGTATATGTATATATGTATTTATGTGTATATGTATATATGTATAAAATATATATATTGCAATGTAGCACAACTAGACATTGTGTGCGTGTCTCTGTGGTTGTGAGAGAGGAAGGGAGTCGCTTCAGCATTTGTGTGTCTGTGCAGAGCCCCTATATATTTGCGTTTGTGTATATTTGTGTGTGTGTTATTGTGTTTTGCAATAGGAGAAAGGTAGAGGAGAAACTGGAGGGAGACAGACGGGAATCTCTCTCTCTTTCTCTACCTCTATACCTCTCTCTACCTCTCTCTCTCTCTCTCTCTCTCCAGTCTGAAACTAAAATTAAAGACATGCCAAATTAATAGTGGTGGAACACGGAGTCTGCTGACGTTAATGATCATGTGGAATTTTTAGCAGCGGCACGTTGTGCAGCGAGGTGTGTGCTGCTGAAGGCTGTGGTATCAGGTGTGTAGTATCGGAGATGATGAATTATGAGTAGGAATCCTTATATGAGTTCTTGTACAGGTACTGGTGGGTGGTGCAATGCTGCAAACGCATGGATATGTCTAGAAAACTGTAGTTCTATATGAAAAAAAAGAAAGAAAAACTTTAGTGGAACCGTTGTGACCCAGTCCTGTCATTAACCTGACAGGACTGTGTTTGTGCAGACTGTAACATCTCTAAGTATCCTGGCTGCTCTTTCTGCAAATCCCAGTGTTATTTTTAGTGGACAAACTGGTCATTGTTGAAGCGCTGGCCTGTAATGAACGCAATCTGTACAAATGTGTGTTTAAAAGGTCTGTTAAAAACAACTGAAGATTTTTATTTATGTGAAATTGTCTCATTTTTATATCATAATAACTAGGGATGTCCGATATTATGTCCGATAACTTTTTGCCGATATCCGATATTCTGATATCATCCGAACGCTTAATGTCCGATTCCAATGTCAACCGATATCCGATATGCTGATTTCGTATATCAATGCATGTTGATATTGATTGATTGATGTCAACCGGTACTGATATAAGCAACCGTTTGCCCCCAAAACCCGAGGTAAACGTCTCAGGATCCTATAAGCAATTCCAGCTTATTTGGTAAAACCCAGGCTTTGCGTTATTGGGTTTTCATCATCATCAGAAAAAAAAAAAAGATAACGATTCTTACAGATATTACATAATTACGCTATAATAATATCAGTCAGGATTTTTATCAGACATTGTTTTTTAATTATGATTGATGATGTTTCTGTCAGTCAGAACAGAAATGTGCATTGAACCAATCAGAGTTAATTAGCACTGAAGAAATTCCCATCTGTTCATATTTGAAGGGTT